GCTCAAGTAGACACTGAGTAGGTACCTCTACAAGCACCTGCCGGACCCACGGGAGGCGCGAGCGAGCGGCCAATCAGCGCGCCTGGCGACGGCACGGCGGCGTCAGCGTCAGCCGGCGTTAGCCAGGCTGTCGTCGATAGCGCGCCGCTCATAGACTTCCAAAGAAGTAGTGGAGTAGAGTACTTTGCTTCTATGAGCCGAGCAGCGGGCCCGCGGTGGGCTGGGCTGGGCTGGGCAGGTGTCCGTCCGAGTGACGTCAAAATGACCACGGCTGCGGCGGCACTGCGCTTGTGGCAGGATCAGTGCAAGCCACATGCGGCGCGCTTCATGTCGTGCCGAGTACCCGCGCGCGCACGCGCACACGCACACGCGCACACGCACACGCGCACACGCACACGCGCCGCTCTACCGGCCGACCCGTGCGCCGGGCTTACACAACATTCGTTAGTGAGGCGGGGGCACGTCCTTGTGCTGCTGCTGCTGGTGGTGGTCAGTCCGTGTGGACTGCGCTGTGTGCGGAGCGAGAGGGAGCGAGGGCGGGAGCGAGCGAGCGAGAGAGAGAGAGAGGAGAGAGACAGCGACAGACAGACAGACAGACAGACAGACAGACAGACAGACAGACAGACAGACAGACAGACAGACAGACAGACAGACAGACACAGGAAGACTGAGAGTGTGGAGTAGGTACTCGCCGGTAAATGGCGCAAGAACTACTAATTGAAGACCAACAAATCCGTAACCGCGCAAACAGCCGCGGTGACATGGGCGCGCGCGTGCATGCATGCGGTAGGACGTGCAGCAGCAGGAGGAGCAGCAGCAGCAGCAGACGCTCGAGGCCCGCGGAGCCTGCGGCGGCGAGGCCAGCAGGAAGGCCCGCGTGTAGCAGGAAGGCGCGGTTCACAAGCGCGCGAGGGCGCGGGTCAGCCTGAGGGAGGGCCTCGGCGTGCTGCTGCCGGCGCCGGCTAGCCCCCAGACCCCTGCCAACCTTAGGGTAGGCCACCCGCTCAGTCGCGCTGTACTGCACAACGAGAATTGCCTGGCTGCCAGGCGGTTTTGTCCCTCCGAAACTTTCCTACCTTCCGAAAACACATTTCTTTTACTCTCTCCGTATTGAGGTCCAAGAATTTGTGAAACTCAGTCACTTCACTTGCCACACCACAATAAATTGTATTCATCCCCCTTTCAGCTTTTCTCCCTCCCCTTTTATGTATCCAAAAATAAACGACTAAATCCGTCTCTGTCTGTCTCTCTCGCTCTCTTTCTCCCACTTGAAAGTGGTCGAAAGGAAGGGAATACGGAGACTGCAGCAGTAGGGAAGTTGTGAGCGTGCGCAGGTGGACCGGAGGGCCGGTGACTTAAATGCACCGGGCCCTGGAGGGCGGGCGCGCGGCGGGTCGTCCCAGCTGACGCACGCCTCCGTCCGCGCTCGCGTCCGCCCTGCGCAGGCCGGGCTGCCGTGTTCCGGGTCGCGGCGCGGGTTGCGTGGTGGCGCCCGGGTCCTAAGTGGCGGACGCCCTTGTTGGCCCGGGCGGGGCGAGGTGCCACCTCGTCGATGAGGCGCACTGCCGCCGCCGCCGCCAACCACCGCCGCTGCTCCCTTTCTCCGATCCGATAACACGTTGACATGGCCGCCCCGCCGCCGCGCCGCACCGCGCCGTGTGATGGAAGAAAGTCACACGGGAGAGAGAAAGTAGCGTGCGCGCACTCGGGGCAGGCAGGGCCTGCAGGGGGCTGGCGCGGGCTGACGGCCTGGCCCCACCCCGCCGGGCCGCGCCGGCCCCCCCGCAGATCAGCGCGGACCAGGCGGCGGCGGCGGTGCGGGCGGCCACGGACCGTACGGACCGTGCGGACGGGGCACGTCCCACCCGTCCGTCGCCCGCGCATAGCACGTCACGTGCCGTCACGAGGGACGGCCGCCGACCACGCGCCCGACCAGCAGACGGCGGCGGTGTACCCCACGCCACGGGGCGCAGTGTGCGCGTGGGGTAACGCGAGTTCGGTTAAAAGAGGGGGGGGGGGGGTTAGGGGCAACCCCTACCCTACAACCCTCCTGCCCTGTCAGCCCGGGCAATTCGTTGTACAACACCCCTGTGTCTAGCAGGCAACCCATAGCCCCCTCCCTGTAGGACGGACCTAAAACTGCCCGCTTGGTGCTAACGCCGACCATTCGTAGCTCCACCGCCCCCAACTCGCTACCCCACCTGCGCGGCTTGTGCGCTTGTATCGCCGCAGACGGTCGCAGAGCCAGCGCTGCCGCATCGCGAAGTGGTACGAGGAGTAGTGCCGGGACAATTATCAGTGAGATTAAAAGGTCCCGTGCGCGTGGTCCACCGCCATAGTCCACGCACGAGGCGCACGTGTGCGTCGGATAGCAGAGGCGCCCCGCCACTCTGTGCCTTCCCTCCTCCCCGCGCGCTGCACCGCCCGCCCCGCCCGCGTACGTGGACCTACGCCCTGCTGCGCCGGCTGCGCCACGTGGACTTCCCTGCGCATGCGCGACACGTGCTGAACAGGTGGCGGCCGCGGCGGCGACGTGGAGCCCCCCCGGCTGTGGGGTCGCTTCGCCCCGCCGCCGCGCCCCGCACCGCAGGACTTTCAACATACGCGTGTCATGACATGTGGTGCACCACCACCACGACCACCACCACTACCAAAGCAATTTTTTTAAAAAATAAAAGATAATCGACCATTTTTTGGTGTTGGCCCAGGCATTTGAGGCACGGCATGTCGAGGACAGGTATGGGCTGCGTGCGCCTCGTCGGTGGGGGAGGGGGGGGGGGTCTGGAGACAGCTGGAGAACGGTGCCTGAATATTATGAGTTAGGCAAGCAGGCGTTGCCCCCCCCCCCCCCCAACATTCCCCCGAAAGGGCCACGATTGGTGGGCACATTCTGCAGGAAATCTTTGGAATTTGATGTCACTTGACACACTGAAGCAGCTGACCAGGGTTGGGGTTGGTGCAGGTGTAGTGGGGCGTCGTCCCAGCCTAGAGTGAGCTCCGATGCGAGACGGGGGGCCCAGCCGGCCCGGCCGCGCCGCACGCAAGCCCAACCACATCATGCCCAAACTGGTGTCATGTCTGACACGACGAATCGTGTCCGTCACGCTCTTGGCTTTATTTTTGTTTCGCCTCTTAATAAATGTGTCACGTCACTCCGTCGAGCTGCCCTTGCAAAGAAACGCATGGTGCTCAGGTTATTGCTCAGGCTGCTCGGGCTCGCTCGGGCTGCGGGGCGAGGAGGCCCGGGTTGGCCAAAGTACCCCTTGCTAGTGCTACACAAGTCGCGGAGTATCGCCGTTACCTGGATGGATAACATAAACGCACGAGTTTCCGACTTCTTCTTTATTAAAATCAACTTGATACGAATTTTACGCATTTGATAAAAGCCAGTAAAAATTAAGTTATCTGTTGCACAACAGATATTAAGTATATTGCACATGGAGCATTTAATGCAAGTTTGATATAAAAATAATAGAGATGAGAAACAGTTTTAAAGCTTAAATGCCTTATTTCATAAAATTATTAAATTATATAAACACACATTGTAATAATGTAACTGTAATGAAGACAAAAACTCATAAAACATCAATGTTTGATAAAAATTTACAAGGATTTCGGACCGGCCGATACAATCCAATTTCAGCACAGGAGTTTTAAAGAATAAAATAATAAAATTGCTCCCATTGAGGGAGGCATGTGGCATAGCCACAACCAAAAATGTACCAGGATTCAAACTAGGAATCTGTGCACCCAGAGAAGTGTGAAGTTTGAATACCTCAAAAACATTTTGGCACTAAATCCAAGCCTAGCTAAGAGATAAACCAAGAACATGTGTTTTATTCAAGCACAAAGGGAAACAATTTGAGAATAAATTGGAGTTGATTTGAAACCAAATACTCATGTATACATGGCAATTGTATACAATTGTACTTGAGATTATCAAGTAGATTGCAATCAATTCAAGTATATTGTGCATGACACAAGAGCACGCTTTTCTGGGTGTGTAAACACATCAAATGCACACTCACAATATTATAATACTGAGTTTTACCAGAAAAGCTTCTGGCTTCAATGGGTAAATTTCTTTGGTGAGCATCTCAACACAGAGTAACCACATATTGACCTATTAAAACTAATGCTGTGACAATCAACAATTAACAATAGTCAAAAGCATTAGTATTGCTTCAAATTTAAAAATAAATGATAATTAAAACTAGTTTGTCTTCTTTTGTTTGGCTTTGTCTTTACCTACTTTTTGCTTCTTCTCGGTTGACGGAGACACTGCTCCAATAATCTTTTGAGGAACCTCAGTAAAGACCAAAGTTCCAACAAAAACCAAAATGGTTCCCACCCAATGGTACATAGTGAATGGATTTTTGAAATACACAAGGGAGAAAACAAGTGAACCAAACTTACGTAGAGTGAGGACAAGGGTGACAGTCAATGAGGAGCATTCCGTTGTTAGTCTGTAGACTGAACTGATGCAAAGGTACCTGAAAGAAATCTGTCAAGGACCATACCAACACAGAAAGGATAAGATTAAAATTGTAGAAACTATTAATGGAGCAGATTTCATTTTGCAAAAAGCTTAGCTGGCAAAGGATACTGTGATGCAACATTCCCAAGAAGATACACTATCATGATTGGCACAGACAGACCAATAAGTGGTACTTGATAAGGAACAGATTCAACTGCAATCGATAAGTGACTGTAGATGTTGCCCCCAATCAGCAGGAACATTGGCAGCGGCATAAGATGCTGTGAAGTAAAAGAACATTAAATAATTAAGAAAAGAGACAATTTGTTATTTTAGTGCCTTGAAATTAATATTCTTGTCCCTAGTTATTACCGTGTAAAGCAATGCCTCTTGGGAATGTTTTCCAAATCTTTGATACAAAACTTCTTGATAAATACCCATTCTTGCGGAGACAAATAGAGCAATTGTTAACAGAAGAATACCTGTAACAATACCACATAAAAGAATATATTTCACATCAGACTTTTTTTTTTTAAAATACATGTATGGATTCAAATTACAGTATTGATATTAGTATTAATGATTTCTCACCTAATGACCACCAGAACAAATCTTCATAGGGGGTTGTTTGAATTGCTTCTGACCCATCCTTTGGGGGAGGAACAGTTGATTTCTAAAAAGGAAAAAAAAAAGGAGTTAAATAGAAATAAAACTAGCAAAAGCTACATGCTGACAACCAGCTGAAATAAATTTGAGAAATGTAAATAAACTTACCACTTCTGTGCTCGATACAATGGTGCATATGACAATACCCAGAGTGATCATGGCCACTGACAGATACTTTGAGAGGGTATACTTCTTTTTCAAAATTATGATACCCATTATCATATTAGCAATAAGGGAGCCCTGATAAATTTGAAATTGAATGTAGTAACATGAGGATAGTTGAACATAACTTTTTTTTTAAATACTTCAGTTTCGGAACACTTACCGCACGGAATATCATATGAAGAGGCATCGGTATATTGAAATTAAAAGCATAGTTGTTACAAAGATTGGAGAAAAAGAACATTAAAACCAAAATAAAGTAGTCTCTGCAAATTAAAATATGCATTAGTAGAAAGGTCAATCAGTGTGAGTCATTTTCAGTTTTTTCATAAATTTGACCAAGCCATGTAGACATACATTTTGTGGGGATACTTACTTTAGCCCGATATTAGGCTTGACAGTTCCAAACTTGGCCGTAACAACAAATCCAATTAAAGCAATGAAGAAGAAGTTGGTAAATGTGACAAGATTGCCACTTCCTGGATCTTCCCTGAAAAATAGGATACACAATAAGTTTCAATTAAAAAATAAATTGACCGCCAATGAAATCCACATAGCTAGTGACTGTCACTAATGATGGTACAGTTACAGCACAAGAAAACTGCAGAGATTCAAAGACAAAAAATCTCTTGAAAGGTAAAATTCCTCAAAACAAAAACACTAAAAAATGTTAAACAGTAAAGTAACACAAAATTATTTAATTAACCTAAAAAAATATGGCAGCGTGTTTACTGCACCCATGTCAGCACATTGCGAACTAGTAAAGAAGTTGTAAGTAAAAGTGAAATTTAACACAGGAATACACCATTTAACGTGTCAAACTTACTTGACGAGGAGTTCCAAGAAGACGACATTGATGCCGCAACCGATGAAAACACCGGCAATAGGTATGGCTGGATGCATGGTTGGGTTTCTACAAATAAAACTGGCTCTAAAACGGCAAAAGGGGCGCGTGTCCCCCCGTTACTTCCACGGTTTACGCTGCTTTCATCACTTTCAGGCCCGAAATATCACAGTAAAGTCCCTGAAGATGAGGCGCACTGTCCACACCACCCCACCACGCTAACCAACCAACACCACACGACACAAAACTTTCTGCTTTCTGCTATCGGAGTTCCGTCCGACGCGGCGCGCGGCGCACTCGCCCAGTGCGAAATTTCCCTCACGGCGATGCTCGCGTCTCTCCTCAGCGCGATGAATCGAGAATGAAGCAGCAGAACTGTTTCGAGGTAGAGCTAGAAGATGAAAAGGGAATATCGCAGCCAAGTCGCATTCTATGTTCATTGGAACGCCTCAACTTGGGTACCGTTTCAAGCGTTTCGCAGAAGGGAACTTTTACATGGCCGGGATGACGACACCGGCACATGAATCTCTCGAGTCATCATCGGCCTCCCCACCACACCTCGACACCTCCATTTCCCCTGCCACGATCTTTCTGCTTCTGACAAGCCAGCAAACGTGTTGTCAGAGGCGTAGCAGTGGCTGCGAGGATGAAAGGCAACTTTTCTTGAAAAGACGATGCACGATGCAAAATTTGCATCTCACGCAGCAAACCGAACATCCCACTTTCTGTCGCAATGACACAAATACTGCCGATTTGGGCGAATGGGCGGGAGGGAATACCAAAACGTTTTCCTGATTATGGACATTGCACCTGATTTCTACGCCTATGGTCATTAGTGGGTACTATTGCAGGGGCCTTCTAATGACACTATGCAGGTCAGAGACGTCAGACCGCCTGAGGGCTAACGAGGCAGCTACGCCACTGAACTGAACGCAGCATCTCTTGCTTATCAGCAGGTGCAGCCGCCGCCGTCAAGGCCCTTTTATCACATTCGACTGAGATTGCACAAACCGCTTGTAATCAATAAGGTCTTCTGCTATAAGTCGTGATATCACAATTTGAAGGTGAGCCGTCCTGCCTACGCTGAGCTATCCTATCCTTTTAGTTTTGAGTTGGTCTGGGCTAGTGCCTGCCTCCAAGGCTTCTCCATCTATGTGATTACAACGTCACCGGTGACGTCCGCAACGAGTCACGACAAGGTCGAGATGAGAGAAGTCCGCAATCACTAAACTTGACCAGCAAGGGGAGGGGGGGGGGGGTCATTCAGGGACTAGCTGCCCGTCCACGAAAAGGGGCAGAGGGGAATGGCAGATTTGTGCCGAATTGAAAGTAGTCATCTCACTAAAAACACAGAGACACCCTGGGAAAAAAAGTAAGTGGCGAAGAGCCCCTGAAGTGGAAGTTAAGTGGTTGTAAGCAACCAAGAGGCAAATAAGTGGCAAAGTGTATATTAAGTGGTATTCAGATGGCAAGGTGGCAAGAAAGAGGAAAGTGGCGAAGTGGCAACCAAGAATTTTCCGAAGAAGTACTTAACTGGCATCTAAGTGTTGAAGTGGCCATAAAGAGCCAAAGTGGCAAGGTGGCAACCAAGTGCGGTGCTCTTCGTTCTCGCTGATGATCCGCCATGCTCGATTAGTCATATGAGGCTGCCGGACAGGCGTAAGGCCGGGGTTGGACGGTCAGCCCCCCCCCCCCCCGATTTTTGAACAGAGAGTCCCCTGGGGGACCTCGGTACAATTAGACATATGTGCGAAAAATATGGAGACTGATGCCACTCGGGTGCCACTTTGCCTCCTCCTTGCCGCTTCACCTCCTCCTTGGCACTTCGCCACCTTGCCACTTAAAATGTCAAAATCCACTTAAATGCCACCTTAGCAAGGGGGCAACGAAGTGACACTTAATTGCCACTTCACTTGCACTTTGCCACTTAATTTTTTTCCCAGGGCAGATTTGAGTGTCTCGCGACTCTCGCAGTCAAAGACTCCCTCAGCCTTTGCCACTCCCAATAATTTCGCCGAACAGGTACGGGCCGCCAAGGGATTGATGGGCTAGAGGGGCTAGAGCTAGAGACCCTCGCGCCTGCGTTCCCGCTTCCCGCGGCGGAAGGAGAGGGGGTGGGGGCGACAGATTGGAACAGCTGTCCAGTCCGTCCCCGATGCCGTTACCATGCCAACCCCAACCGCTTCAGCTGTGTTGTCATACAGCAAAACAGAGAAAAACCAGACGACGAGACACCGAGACACGAGATAAATTTTCTTTCCAGAACCGCTTCATGCAGCATGGCCCGCAGCCAGGACTTAGCTCAGGGTAACATACTACCACAATTTAGGTTCATACGACAGAAACAAAACTAACGATATCCATGGTTGAGTAAGAGAATAATTTGTCAATGGTCCTGCATTTCTACCAGCAATGAGAACAGCTTTGGAGGAGAATGGAGATCTTATCGAGTTGCAAGCACAGATAGAAGAGGAAATGCTGGAAGCTCTCACTCGCCTTCAGTCTGGGTCAAATGAACATAACTCACAATATTCTTTTTCAACAAAAAGATGCAAACCAGCTATGCCACCGGAGATAATTCTTGCCAACAATTTGATACGCCAGTATTTAGAAGAAGTTGGCTTGAAGAGAACATCTTCTGTGTTGTGCACAGGTTGCTGAATTAAAGATGAGATGTGAGATGCTGCTTTATTTCTTGTTCCATATTGTTTTCTGATTCAAATTTTGATTTCAGAGAGTGGATTACCCCAGAGTGCAGTGCCAGACACCGTTCTAAGAACAGCATTTCCTTCACTTCATTCCTCAGGAGCCAAGTGAGTACCACAGCATTTCAGGCAATCTAAAGAATGTGATACCAAGTTGATTTAGCTATGTTGTTGCAGGCCTCTACTATGCAGTATGATACAGGACATTTTGTTTAAAAGTGACGCAAAGCCAATTTAGATAAAAAATAAAATAAAGGAACAGTGAGTGGTCACTTAGGTTTTTAATTAATGAAGTTTTGTACAAAGTAAAAATACTCAAACATAATAATAATACATAGTCTAAGAGTGATTGCCTTATCTGATCATATACATTAGATGATTCTCTTTAAATTTGAACATTGCACAAAATGAAAAGATCAGTCACATGAGTGTTTTGAATGTACAACCTGAAAGGCATTTCAATTTGAAAATGGTAGTCTATTTTAGTGGGATAGAAATAAGAACTCCAAAATACAAATTTTAGGTTAAACTTGCCATTAAAAATTACAGCATGAAGCTTGAGATTTAAGGTTCAAAGTCAGGATTTTTGCGTAGGATTACAAAGCCTTCCATGATGGGGGAGAGGGGAATATATTCATCAGTTGCCAGCTCTGCTCTTTCCCCGTGAGCAAGAAGAACAGGCGTGGTGTGTGTCTGGAATCCAGTGATGGTTTTGGGTTTTCCTGCCTGTCCCACAACATCAACAGCCTAAACAAATTTAAAAAATATAATAATTAGGAATAGATAAGATTAGACAGTTAAGCAATGGAATACTAGATAAAAGTACATACCAAACCAACTCTCACAGGAACAGCTAGAGCATTACATTCCTCATCAAATGTGACTAACATCCTTGGTTGCATAGCAGCAGCCAAAGTATACAACAAATAATGTGATTTCCCCAAAATAACTAAAAGAAGGAGGAAAATATTAAGAAGTATTCTAGATCAAATATCATATTTTCAGAGAAAATGAAACAATACTTACTATTTTTAACATCAAGGAAGCTAACAAGGGTAGATAGGAGACCAGCTAGAGCTACTGGTGAGAGGAGCTGTCTGTCACTGTGGTATGGACTAAGCGTGAGAGTACCTTTGCCAAGATGGACAAGACCCTGAGCAATGCGCACCATAAATAGGTTGTTTGGATCTTTGCCATGGAATTGTGCAAGCTGACGCAACATAGCTGCCAATCTACATAACAGAACCGTTAGTTTGTAAAAAAAATTTCAACTTCTGTACAATAAGTTTGGTTTCTCAATACATACCTTGCGTTGTTGGTGCCAGCACCTACTAAGCCCATAGCAAAGATTGAATTATGAGCTACCTCTGCATCACTGTCATGAGAGAATTTACTAAGGGTGTCCAAGATTGACAACTTTGGATTTGACACAGAGATTAACCCTAGTGCCAAAGGAACAGCACGTCTGATTGCAGGTTCACAGTATCGCAGCTGTAATAAAATAAACAGAAAAAAATTAGAGGGGAAATTTTTTAGAGTAAATGCAGAGGTCACGATTAAGGAAGGAGGAGGACTATACCAAGTGGCCAAAGGATCTGTATGCCATTTCAGAGCCGATGTCTTCACCCATGGCAATAAGTGCAATACCGAGCACAGCAACAGCTTGTTTTGATGTGAAATCTTTTTCCTTGTCATCTTTTTTGTCATCCTTCTTGCTTTTATCATCTTTCTTGCTGTCTTTTGTTTCCTCCTAATAAAAAAAAAAAAGTTAGATCAAAACATAGGTAGGTAAACAAGCAAAGCACAAAAAATATAGACAAGCATCTCAAACCTTGTCACTTGGCTCGTGATGTTCACTGCAGATGTGAAGCAAGTGTTGAATCTTTAATACATTGCCAGTGCCAGCATAAGCACACACCTCTACAAGGGTTGTTGCCATTGACTTGAATGGTTCAGGAATAACTTCAAGTGCAGCAATAATAGCTTCTGCAGCCTCTTGACGTCCTAGAAGGGACAATAAAATGTGAAAATGTATACTAGTGTAATACAGCAATACAGTAATGCAGAGTACAAACCTAAATGGCACAATCCAAGACCAAGAGGAAGGAACCTGGCATAAGTATCTTTTAATTCGGCTTCAGTTCTTTCCATTAGTGTCTGCATAATAGCACTGGTCACATCAGAATTGCAGGAGCCAACAGCAATCATTCCACAAGCCATTCCAGCTAATCCAACAACCTCCATTGTAGACTTAGGATCACTCAAAACAGGAGTCAAGAGACTAAGAACGGCCTCTCTGTTGGAACCAGCATAAGCCAGACCAAGACCTGAGGTGCAGAAAATACATTTTAAAATGGTAACTATCGTCAGAATGAATAGCAGCATAGGAGTAGGAGTGGGTATTACCAATGATTGCTCCAATCCTCATTACATTGCTTTGATGAAGGACATAATCAGACAACAGAGCAAGTGCAGGATCACACTCATTTCTTACACCACAATTGACAATACCACAAGCCAGAAGAGCACCAGACTAAAAATTTAAAAATCAAAGCAAATTAGATAAGTAAAGTACAACTTAATTTTGACTTAAATAATAGCTCCAGTGCACCTCACAACTGTATGCACAAGCCCATGACATTTCAGTTTACCTTAATGTAATCTTCTGAGGAATACAAATACTTGTCAATAGGAGTAAGGCCTCCATCAACGTCCCACAAGAGAATCAAACCCAGTGATGCAGTAGCACTGAGCATACCTGAAAGGCATTGATTTGGTTATGTACTGTACAGCATAGCTCAGTACCTCAAGCCAAAAATAGTAAAGCTTACCATGTTCCTTGTTTTTATACATCCATTTGTTCCCCTCAGCTTTTAGAAGCTTATCCTGTCCAAAGGCTGTGTTGACAAACCCGTTGACAAAGCTTGCAGCTAAATTCTGACGAGCAGAATCCACTTGTCCACCTCCAAATTGAGGCCTGGCATCCAAATGGGATTTATAAACATCTTCAGGTGTTTTAGCTTCCATGATGTCCAACTGAACACAATGATATAATTAGTCCAGCCCAACCAATTTAAGAAAAAGATACTACATATTAAAAAAAAAATTAAACCTACCTCACGAGCCAAGTTCAAAAAGTGATTGTTCAAGTGGCCATTTGACATGATTTCCATTAGCTCATCATATTCAGGAGTGCTCTCATTAAGCTCAAGGTAGATTTGTTGTCTACCAAGCATAAAAGCCAGTTGCTTCTGAATAGCTAAATCTGGACAAGATGTGAAAATTTCCTCAATCAGAGAATGATTATTTAACTGCAACGCAAGGCGCAATGCCTGGGGAAATTGTTTGAATTTTCTGAAGAGGTCTAGAGCTGTTGTTAAAAGAGTGGTGTTCTCAGGATCTGGCACATAAGGGACACAGCTTGTCAAATACAGACATACACGAGGGTAAGCGCTTTCATCGACATACTGCTGTAATAAATCTAAGCGTTCAATTTCCATGAGAAGATCACAAGCATCAGCCTCAGCATTGTGGGCCATATCATAGGGAATGATTTCACCAGCAAGTTCCACTAAATGGTCGCGAGCCTGAGTGTCACCAATGGGGAGTTCAGCCCACTCAGCTGCTATTTCACCAGATAAATGCCTGCAATTTAAGTGGCAAGTTAATTTTATAGAAAAGCAAAGATTAACAGTGACCTCAAATTATTACTAGAATTGCACTTATAAAATACCAACCTTACATACTCGTGACCCCAGTTCGCAATTTCTTTCTTGGTGCCAAGCAGACGGTACTTTAAACAATCTCTACCATCACTCATAGTCATGGCTAAAACAGATACAACGTCCGCACAAAGCTCCTTAGTAATAGCATCTGTAATTTTCTCATAAATTACTTTCATAGTATCAAAATGGGGACGCATAAACTTCAAAGGCTTGGGAACACTTGTCATAGATGTGGTTGAGGCTCTGATCTGGGAGCGCAAACTTTCCAAGGCAGGCTTGTACAAGGTAGCATCATTTTCCTGCAATAGCAAAGAGTTGAAAATACACAAGTTTTAAAGGGCACATCTGAACATTTAGAACATAATGATTAACTAACCTGCAGCCGCTCCACCAGCATATTGAGCTCATCTTGCAATAATTTGTCCTCCTCCGACTGAAAAAACGAAATGGACACGAAAAATAACATTAATACAGCAATTACAACGGCAAACAACGAAAAAAGCATTTAGAAGCTTTGTCATTGTTTCACTAATCACAAAAATTTGTTGGACGTTATACCGATTAGGATTAAAGAACGCAATGGGCTGAAAGCCGATAGAAAGACCTCAAAATACAAAGCAATTCATCGGGAAAAACAGTTATAGGTTGTAAGATTGTTAGTTGGATGGATATGTCAAACTATCGCTTTGTCACTTAACCTCAAATATTTGAAATACAAAATAGGTCGGATAACTTACAAGTTCGGTTTTCTCCTCGTCCTTTTTCTTCTCTACCTTCTCCTTAGGGGGTTTCACTTCACTAACTTCGGTGTTCGTCATAGTGAAATATGTAAATCAAGAAAAATCAACGTTAAAACTGAATATTGTGACTAGCCGTGTCTCCTTTCTCGTCGGCGTACCAGCGACTTTCTGATACACTAGAACACCCAACATCACGAAAGTTTAGAAGTAATACAATCTTTAAGAAAATAATCGCCTCAAAACAAATAGGAATTCCCAATTTTAGGAAAGTCATAAAGATTGTTTAATTGGAAGATGTTTAAGATATCAAAGGTAAAGTAGGTAGAAAAGGAATATTGCTAACTTCTGTTTAAAGAATGTCTGTTGGATAAACTGTACCTGTTAAACTATTTGCACTCACAGTATGTGCATCATCATTCAAGCCTATTCGCAGCATTCCTGCCAATAATGCAGGATCAGGATGAATAACAAAAAACAAGCAAAGCACAGCACACAGCACACAGCACATTGAACCTTTTCATGTTTGAGGAAATTCTATTTTACCATATTTTGAATGAAAGTTTTGTTAATTTTCCGTTTAAACTTTAAAAGATGGGATACCAAATTGTTAGAAGATTAATACCCAGTAGAATATCAAATAAGTATAACAGGATCAAAGCCAGATTAAGTCTTGACGATGCAGCAGAAAGGTTAAAAGGATCTAAATTTGAGAAAATTGGTAAGAATGTACTGACCATCTTAATGTTTTTAAAAATTGCGTCTTATTCTTCTCATGAAATAATCTCGTAGATCGTTTCTTTTAAAAATTGGGTAACATTGTTGTTTCTCTCCCGTCATCTAGGTAACTTTTGGATTAACCTCCTTAGAGATTATGGTGAAGTGATAAAAGACACATCCAATGGTATTAAAGAGCGTCCAAAGCGAGCTTTGATCTATGCCTGGGGTAATTATCCCTTTACAAAAAAGAAAAGAATTGTTTTGCGTGAATTTGTATTCGTCATTATCTAATGACATCGTTTTTTCATAGGATTCTGGGCTTGGTTATATTGCGTCAATACTAATCCTAACGAACGCAGTTTCCGAGATCAGTGTCTGTCAGCAGCAACTGAAATATCTTCCTTACCAGCTGCAATCCGCAATGCAGAACCTTGTACCCACTTAGCCTTTTTGGAATCCTGCCATAACGCTGGTTTACTACGCCGTCTGAACTTAGGCGTGTGTTCAGTTATGTGGTTAGACAACTACGATAAAAATGCTGGTTTGTATGCTGCTCATTGTAAATACTTAAAACCAAAATATTTCAGTTTTCATGAAAGAATCCTGGATTATGGTATGTTAGGTCGATGGTGGGTCATCAGTGGGAAAATGAAGGACTATGATATTAATCCAGATGAATGGAAAGAGAAAACATCAAACTAAGGATAAAAATTATAGGCATTGAATGAATGTTGTTTAAGCTTATTAGAGATTAATGGCTGTCTGTCACTAATAAAACTGTTACAGAAAATAGGTCTTTATTACAAATCCCTAAGTTAACTTCATGTACTCAAATATACAAGTACGAAACACGTTCACAGGTCACAATCATACTTAAAAGCAGTCAATTTCAAATACTTACATTATAATACAACTGTCAATTCAACCTACATAAATGTGCTGTCATAAAAAGATTGGCCTTTTCAAGACATTTGTGCAAATACAGAAAATTTGCTTCACATAAAAAAGCTATTTACATTATATACAGTTTTTAACACACATGAATCAATAGAACAATCAGGTATACAATTTGAATGAGTTATTATTGCAGGTAACCTAGACTAGATGAGGCCATTGTTAGCACAACTTACAATAGCTACATGCCTTTAGCTGTGCTATACAAAACAAAATGAAAATCATCTCTTAAAAATTGTGAAACGAGGTAGCCAGGACGGAATTTAAAAGAGCACTGAAAAATAAATACCATATTATCCAAAATATAAACAGATTTCTGATGTAAATTAGGTATTTTCATAACATCTTGCTTTAGAAGTGACGTCATTACTTATTTCCACAAATACACATTAAAAATGGCAATTTTTTCAAGTTTCTTTAAAATCACGTACTGAGAAATTAATGGCATGAGCTACATGTGTTCTATATAAAAATAATGTCATTTAGCTGACCATTACATACACAGAAGTAAGGGTAGGCTGAACCAGGTGAACATCTTGACACAAAAATATACCAGCTATTACAGTATATAAATCATCCCCAAATTCAGACACAATCCTACCTACTAGAACAAAAAAAAAGTAGTAAACCAAATATTACTAAAATAAACACTGTCTTATACTTTTACATCTTTACAGAAATGAAGATGTACAGAAAACCCATATAAAAATAAAATCACAAAACTTGACTTTTTGGTAACTTATGACATCTTCGATACATAATGTAAACTTCAATCTGAAAGAAATACGTACTTGGCAATACAGTGAACTAACTCAGCTTTTCTTAAGGTAATGCCTTGAGAGGATTGAGGAGGAGGAGAACTTACATGCCAACATTTAAATTGAACACTACTATTGCAAGTCAACTTCAAGTGAATAAAAATCAGGAATAAAGTTGTATTTAAATAAGTTATTTTTATAAAGAAGAGAAGACATCATCTTCATTGATTGGCTTATTGCTGACCCTGTAAAGTCAAGCGGAATATTGACTTAAAGCGCCAGATAAAATTTACAATTGTGTTCTGAGTGCATTTATTTCTTTTCTCTTACCAAGTCAGCATTGGAAGATGACTGGCCACTTTGCTGGGCAGCCTGCTGTTGAAGCTGCAGTTGCAGCTGCTGCAACTGCTGCTGGGTAGTCACACCCTGGCTTTGTGACTGTTGTACAGTCACTGCCATTATGGGTGTGCCCCCACTGCTTGTTTGAATTCTGACAGGACTTTGAGTGGCTTGTCTCAACACAGGCACCATGCCAGGTTGACATTGCAAGGCAGCGGAAACCTTTAGATGTAGAGTGAAAAAAAGATACAGTCAAGACTTATTGGTTAACAAGTTTTCCTAGGTAACAGGGCAATGAAGACAAGAAATTACCTGAGATAATAGATGTGGAGAGGACGCCGCCGTCACCTTTATATTCCCTGCGAGTGCAGAGGCAAGGGTTGACGCAATGCTTACTTGTGGACGTCCGGTAGAATCAACAACTTGAGTTCGAGCAGCTGCAATAGGTGATGCAGCAACGACCTGAACAGTTTGTCTTTGCACTGTTTGTTGCCCAGACGACGCTACTGGGATGACCCTTCCTGCTCCTGTAACTTGTCCTTTTGCTAACACCTGAGAGATTACTTGACCTGCTGCCCCACCAGAAGAGACAGCAACAGGTACGTTTTTCATAGCCTAATAATGGATTAGACAGAAAATAACATACATTTATATTTTACATATATAAATTATTTGAGCAAATCTAATATTTAAGTAGGAACTTTAGTAATATTTATACCTGTTGAAGCTGCTGAACCGTCATTGTTGCTCCCACTGCCTTAGGTGATTGTACAAGTAGCTGGGTAGGCACACCGCTTTTCACGGGGGTAAGTTGAGTTACTTTCTGACCGGGAGGTAATTTACGTTGTTGATGAAGAAGTAGCTGTTGTGAGGTCAAATGTCTGATTTGTTGAGCTCCTTTCAAGCCGGGAGCCAGTTGGGCTTTTAGCTAAATAAAATTAAGAGGAATAAGAACAGGTGAAGACTGAAAAAGTTATACATAAAACTGTCTTGAGATAAAGACAGAGGAAATTCATAAGCTACAACGTACCTGAGGTATAACTCCTGTGACTGGCAAAGTTTTAACGAGAGTTGCTTGGCTTGTTCCAGCTGCTCCAGTCTGAACAGCAAGGCCAGCTTGGGCAAGAAGCTGTGCAGTTGCAATGGTCTGTTGGGTTATCTGTCCACCAGGACCAGGCTTAGCAACAGCAACAGTTGTTGCAACTTGATTAGAAGCTACTGAGGTTGCTTGAGACAGCTGTGCCTGAGAAATAAACAATTGGTGAGTCATTTCAAATTCATACCAAAACATTTATTAAAATAAAACAACTTACATAACTACAATAATATTGAGACTAAATTAGATGTAGCTAGGTACATCGAAATTTGAGGTAAACTGATATTTTTAAGTATCAATAGGAAAATTATAACTGCTTCTCAGACAAAAGGTTCTTAAGACAATCTCACAACTATACCTGAATCTGTCCTGTCGCTTGCCCTTGAATCTGACCCTGAGCTTGTGCTTGAGCTTGTGCTTGAGCTTGGGCTGCTTGCTTTCTTTGGATAAGAATTGCCATTTCGGCTTCTGTCATAGGTCTGCTCAAAGTCTGCTTACCAGCAGTCACTTTTGTCATGTACTGCATCTAAAAAGTTTGAAGAAAAAAAATTAATAATTAAAGAAATGAACAGCTGAACTTGTAGGTAGTACCAAGTACCAAAATAATACCTAGCTACAAAAAAATATAACAAGCAATGGAAATCACCTGGGTGCGTTGCTGGCCCTGAGAGACTTGTACAGCAGTCACATTAACAGGAACGCCTGAAGCAGTGGCAACCACTTTCTGCGTAACTCCAGAGGCAGTCCCTGATGCTGACACGATAGGGATGGTACCGGCAGAGGCTGCTGATACAGCTTGCTGCGTTGCAGCTATGCTTGTAACTACAGCTCCAGTAGCCGTCCCGGCCGCCGCCTGTGCGGCCTGCTGCTGTTGGAAAAGCTGAAAAAAAGCAAAAATAAATAAAGATAAAGAAAGGCAGCGCAGGGTAATCGAATAACTTTAAATACACGCACCTTCAGCTGCTCTCTGCGCTTGATGGCCTGTTGCTGGCGCTGCAGCTGCTGTAATTGTTGAGTCGTCAGTGGCTTTCCAGTGGTCGTGACCATACCAGCAGTGACTGCCTTTGGCGAGGATGTGGAGGCGGTTGCAGTGGTCTGGGCCGCTGTAAACCTCTGCACAGCGGCGGCCGCCTGAGCTTGGGTCAGATTTGCTACGGACACAACTGTAGGGGTCCCGGCCACCGAGTGCGCCACTGCCCGCACACCACTTACCCCAGGTTGGGTCACCACCTCCTAAACCGCAAACATTTATTAATTTAAATTTCATGTAAACCAGCACAAGTAAAAATAAAAACAACACCACACAAACCTGCATCATGAGAGTAACTGGCCGTCTTAACTGAGGTGACACTCCAGTGGCTGTAGCCACAGTGCCGGTTGCAGTTCCAGCGGCCTGTTGCTGCAATTGCAATTGTGCCGCAGTTTGCTGGGTGGGCTGAGCGGTGGCTGCAGCTGTTGCAACTGGGGCAGCAGGCTGAGCTACCGGTGGAGCAGCAGCTGGGAGAACAGGGGGTGGAGGAGCAGCTCCAGGGTTGATAGGTGGTGGCAAGCCAGTGGTCTTACCCTGCTATAAAAATAAGATATTTCCAAAACAAGTTTAGAGAGAGAAAAAAATACCCACACTTTGATTGCACGGTACTGGGACAGATTTTAACTGTGGCTACTTACAGCATTGGACTGTTTTTTCTTCTCAGAAGCAATTCGCTCTGCCCTCCTTTGAGCGACAGCCTGGGGCTCAAGAGGGTTATCATAATCAATTCCGTTTTCTTGTAATACTGCTGCATGTTTGGGATTTTTAACTGATGGATTAACTAAAAGTGGTTTCACTGTTGGGGCTCGCTTGTTGGAAATTTCACGAACATTTTCAAAATGCTTTAAGTACAAGGATGTGAAAGACTGATTGGCATCATGAGCATGAAGTTGATTTGTTCGCATTGGTCTATTGGATTTTGTTGGCTAGAACAATAATGTGCACATTAAAAAAAAAACGTCTTTTAAAAAATAAAGCTTGTTGACATGGTAATTTACCAACCTGTATTGGTTTGTTCATACTCTTTAACTTCTTTTGTTTTTTTGTTAGAGTGTCAGGGAAAGGAGTTTTCCCTTCTTCCCTTGGAATAACTACATTTTCATATCTGTGATTAAAAAGACAATTTGTTAAGCCTGAGGGCTATTACTGATAAAATCTCCAAGAAATAAAAATATACCTGTAGCGACAGTGTTTGGCCGATCTGAAAGTGCGTCCAATGTTGGTGACACACTCAGAGTCATAATCCCAATTGGGAGTATGAGCAGGTGTAACTACCAACAAATTCAACATAAGTTCTTGGGTATTTTGGACTTCCTAAGAAACAATAATAAATATGGAGTTAACAGCTAAGTTACATTACATGTATGTTATACAGTGATAGAGAAATATTTGTTTACCTTGAAAAGACAAAAATCTTCATAGATGAGCCACTCAGGCATGTACTCCGGCTCCTGAACAGGCCTTTGTAGAACTTGAGGCTTTAGTGGATTAGGTATGGGACTACGGACAAGACCGCGATATTTCTGAAGCTTAATATCTCTTCGCATTTTGACCAGAGCTGGTGATGGGCGGTCAAAGAGTGAGCGAGGAGCCTGAGATGATGCTTCATCTCTTGTGCGCACTTTCAAAGGTCTTCGACCTTCAATGAAATAGAAAGTATAATTGTTATTAATAAATAGTTATTGATTTTAAATTGAAATGCAATAGGGCTCTGTTTACTCCAATGTGTGATAAAATGTGTTACCTTCTCTTTCACCTGCACTGCCTACTTCAGCTTGACGGGATCTCTTAAGCTCCTTTTTGACGTAGACAGGTGGTAGTTGAGTTTCAGACATTATGGTTTGATCATACAGGAATCCCATCGACATGTCAATGTACACATCATTGTCATGCTGAGGTGGTGTTGGAGGACACCACATCTAGTAAAAGAAACTGGAATATAGTAGTGATTTGTCTACTCTGAGAAATAGTAACATTTAGAAAGGAGTGAATAAATACCGGCATAAGTTCCTTGCCATTGTCAGAGAGCCACTCCTGAAATTAAAATCATAATTTTAGTGAGGTAAATTTGTGGACACTGTTTCATGAGATTCAGATTGATCATTTTATAAAAAGGCTAATGAGGAGCAGCGCTGCACATTTGTTCCCACCCTACTTAAGTTCTTAAAAACTGAGACAATTTACCCTCAAGTTATTTCGAGTAGGAACATTTTTTGAAACCAATGTAACACCATTAGCCACATGAAACATACTGACAGTAGCTATGTGACAAATACATCATGTTCAACAATGTTTTGTGCTGTCTTATGTAAAGTAGGCATATTTGAATTACTCAATATGCTTAAATTAGTTTTAATTTTGTGCCAAGCAGATTGTCATAGGAAGAGGGGTGAAGACGGGGCCCTCAGGTCCATGACGATGCCTGGCACAACACTTGCTTACTGTGCATGCTTATATCTTGGGAGTATCTCCAAGTTTGGAATGGCAAGGCAGAGGTAGAGCTTTGGTGCCGCGTGAGTCATAAACAGAAGCTTCAATTGCGAACACATTGGAAGCTAAACTACATGGATAGCATGAGGTGCTACACCACCGGTTATGACACGCCTATGCCATACCAAACTTAATTTTGACTGAGCCAAAAAGGAATATATAAACAAGCACACAGAGCAAAGTTTGACACCAAAACAGCGCTCGACCTTGAACCCCACTTGGAAAAATTACCAAGAAATAAGACATACAACAGACACTTGCAAGTTCATGTTTTTTTTATTATTTTTATATTCTTGATTGAAATATAGGAAAGAACAGAACAGTGACAACATGTCACATAACAATCAAGCCATTTGAAGTCACAGAACAAATGGCATAACTCAATCACACATTTTCAGAGACTCACACATACACTCATACTTTCACAGGAAAAGTAACAAATTGTCAGCCACACAAATATAAATACTTAATAATAACAAAATTCAAGTTGGCAAACTGACATTCACATTGTGACAACCTGCATCTCGCAGATTGCAAGTCACTAACAGCCTTAGATAAATGAGAATGGTAAAAATGTATAACAAGGCACATTTACCCAACCTCTTCATTGCAATGAAATGAAATTTCATTCACAGAATTATATTTTCAGTCTAATAGCCAGTACAAGTGAAAATTCAATATGACCTAAGAAATAAATTAAACTTTCTTTTTCTTAATTGACCAGCGCAGAAATATAATAGGTAGTTTTAGCACCAAAACTTGTTCTAAAAGCTAATACTGCATTCAAGAAACAGATGTCTAGAGTAAATGTCCGGAAGATTAATGTCATACACTACTGTATTTACACAATTATAAGTACTTCTCCGAATTTCAGGTAAAACTTAGGGGAAAAAGTCCCATGCAATTTTTTCAAAAATGTGTGTTGAATAAAAGCCACACACCAATAAAAAACGGGAAACGAACAACTTATAATCATGCAAATACAGTAATTAATTACCTACCTGAGTCATCTAAGAGCAATGAGTCTCTAGTCAAAGATATAAACAAAGCAGCAACCAATACAAGCAAAGGAGTGCTCTTAGTCTCTGAAATCACATGGTCTGGCATAGTTAGCTATCATCAGTCAAAGCGACAGCAAATTACACTGGGCAAAATAAAGAGACTCCATCTTACAAAAATGTTGTCACATAAATACTACTTTTGGTGCCATAAAATAAATAAACAGTACGAAAGCAGAAAAATCTCATTTAAGACTTATTAAAAAAAGAAAAAGACCTAGCAGTAATGGAATGGCCAATCTTGTAAGATCACTTGCAGCGACTTTCAAGTTAGTAAGAAAAAGAAAGCCTGATTGTGTTGCCATCTACATAAGACCATATTGAGCAATGTGGAGCATTGAATTAGCTAACCAATTTAACTATTGGCTATGGGTGATATGCATGGACAGAATATTGCATATGTACTTACAAAGCTGGCCAGATTTCAAAAATTAAAAAGTCAGGACAATTCAAAACCACATCTCCATAAATAAAGTTTTACTTAAAGAGAGGGACAGTCCTCTCCCTAACTGAAAGGCACTGTCACAACCCTCAATGTAAGTCGCACATTTTGATGCACTGCATAGCAATGAAATTAGCTACTATGCACTGAATCAAACTGATACACTTCATTAGGGCTTATTACAGAAATATAAAAAATTAATTTGAAGCATTTTCAGAACTAATGCATTATGAGTTTTAAAATTATGCAAAAACCAAACAAGGACAACTAAAGAAAATGTTTAATTTTTCTGAAATAAATAGTTTCCTGTGAATTGTTTCTACATTAAGTACGGTAACTGGATATTTTAAATCATAAAAACTTTAAGAATGCAGTTCTCAATTTAAAACTTACAGATTTAAAAGCAAAAAGCAGATATTGTGAAATTCAGAGAAGAAAGAAGACTGACTGTACCTTGATATACACAACACCCACAATGGACTGCTTGAACAGATGGCTAAGGCAAACCATTGCTATCAACACTGCCTTCAGATCTACGTTTCCGTTTGAGAAGTTTTAATTTTTTGACTTTTCGACCATCTGGACTTTCATTGTTACTTTCTACATCACTAACATCTGCAGGCCTCAGAGAGGAAGAGCCTCTACGAGATCTTATCATAAGGTTAGGATTAGCAAACGGAGATAAAGGGGAAATAGACTGCTTGCTTGGACTACCATTGTTGACACCACCAGGTCGATCTTCTTTCCTTGGGCGCCCTCGTTTCCTCTTCTTTACTGTAGATTGGAAATTGGGACTACCAGGAACTTCTAAACTGGAAGGGCTAGCACTTCTATCTAGTGTCCAGAGATTAATACTCACAGAACCTCTAGAACGTGTTCTTGGACTAGTTGGGTCTGCATTATGATTATTTAAAGGCATGTCGTGACTATCGTTGGAATGAATACTCTCACTGTCATTGTCTTTAGATTCCTCTTTCACTAACTTTCTTTTCCTCTTGATGATTTCTTTTTTCCCTTCACCTTTCACTTTTTTGTCATCACCCTCTACACTACCGTCGAAAGAGTTAGTTCGAGAGTTACACCTGCTGCTTCTTGCAGATAATTGCAAACGCTTACCAGCTGACAATCGCTTACTCCTCATACCTATCTTTTTACTATTAACCTGAGTATTGGCATCGTCACGCGAGTAGGTCAGCATGGGTTCATCATCAGCGAGCCGTTGTCGACGTTCCTCCTCCTCACGGGCAGCCGCCATACGGTTCATTTCCCAGTCTTTCTTTTGACGTTCTATCTCTGCCTCTGCCTCCGCTAGTTGTTTGGCACTCCAAGAGTCTGTTTCTTCCATAAATGTCATGGCATAGCGTTCAATGGCAGAGAGCTGAAAATTAAGAAGTATTATTTAGTTAGTTATTTAGATAGTTATAATTTAGATAGTTATAAAATGAAGAATTCCATTTCAATTACTGTGCTTTTATGGGAACACATAATGGTAAGTACTGACCTGTTGAACAAGGTTTTGAACCTCCTGTTCAGCTTTGCTCAGCTCAGGCTGGTCTGGCTGTTGGGCATTGTTATCTGCTCCTTCTTCACCAAGTGGAACATTCTCATCAAATTCTTCTAAATCTGCCACAGCTTCAGCCTTAGCTGATTTCAAAGCAATGACATCAGTCTCATCTTCAGCAGCTGCTAGGGCTGACTCCAGAGCACCCATTGCTAATTTGTCATCTTGCGGGGAAGGAACACCCTGAAAAAGCATACACATTAGAAATATGTATTCTATTTATCATTGCTCATTCCAAAAGTAATTCATACTCCATTGAAGTACAAACCTGACTATCTCTGTCAACAACTTCTGCCATACGCCTGGAGGCATCATTTTCACTAACATCAACGTTGAAGAGATCTTGGATAGTAGACTAAAAATACAAATGGCAACATATGAGTCAAAAAATGAAAAATATATACAAGAGAACACAAGGAATCCATAGTACAAGTGTCAATAAATAAACTTACACTTTTGAAGAATGCAGTGGTAAAATTACCACCTTCAATAGCCAAATTACCCAGCATTCTCTTCTGGTTTGCTTTCTTCAAAATATTTTCCTCTACAGTTTTGTCACTGATTAACCTGGTTACAACACACTTGCAGTTAGGCATACTACGAAAATAGCAAAAGACCTTGCAGCCTCCAAGGAAAAGCTTACCTATAAATATTAACATCTCGGGTCTGACCAATACGATGGCAACGATCTTGAGCTTGCGCATCCATAGTTGGGTTCCAATCACTATCATAAAATATCACAGTATCTGCACCAGTCAAATTCACACCAACACCGCCAGAACGTGTAGAAAGAATAAAACAAAATATTCGTGGGTCTGAATTGAATCTTTCCATTAACATCTAGAAGAAGAAAAAAGATTAACAGTAAAATATAAGAATACTAAAATTTCATCAACAATAGCAAACAGATTTGAGAAAATCATACGCACTTGTCTTTGATCTACACGGGTAGTTCCATCTAACCGCAAGTAAATATGACCATGGAAATTCAAAAATGCCTCTAAGACATCTAACATGCGAGTCATCTGGGTAAATATCAAGACCCGATGATGTCCTGCCTTAAGCTGCCGGAGCAATCTATCCATAGTTTGAAGTTTTCCTAAAAAACATAACCAACTTGTAAGTATTCACACTAACAAAGGAAAACTAGGGACGTAAAACTTGTCTAGCTTACCACAATCGTATTGTATGAGACGAGGGTCAGGGAACTGTGTTATCATTGAGCGGGCTACAGGGTGAAGTAACGTACAACGTGGTGAAATGTCATGTTGGAGTGTTGATATCAGCCGTTGTTCTTTCCAAAGTGCAGATGGAGGAGGATGAGAAGTATGGAGAATGGGTAATGGTGCATTAACAGGAGGCACCCACAGCACAAACCTGTAAGTCAAAACGGTGATAAAAAATAGAATAAGATAAATTAATACCTACTCACAGATGATAATCCTTAGATTTACTTACCTTGCAAAAATGTCCTGAAGACTGTCAACATAATCTTCATTTGTATAAATTAGATCTGACAAAGCATTTGTGCGTTGCCAGTATGTTGATGGGTGGTGATAAGATTTGCTTTCATGAGCACAATTTACATAGCCAGCAGACCAACCAGCTGTGGGACATGGTGTCTCCCCCAACATGTGGAGGGCACAAACCAAATCAGCACCATAAATAGGATAGGCATCACACTTTATTTGGTTGCATCTGGCAAGGAATTGCAGTTTTTCCCGTCTTCTAAGTCTTCTCTTTTCTACTAGCTCAGGCTGAAATAAAAATAAAAAATATGAAACAGCTTTTACCACAAAAAAAAACAAAAAAAAAAAACATTTATCTATGTAACAAAATAAGAAGGTAATGTTGGTCACTTACAATGAAGAACTGAGATTTGGCTTCAGTGTTACGAGGTGACTTGGTGTTTGTTGAACTACCATTAGACGAACTGATGTCTCCTGATGTTGAGGTCATCTGTAAACAGAGATCAAGTGGGTTATAGATAGAGCTTATAATGGGACTCTTCATCAGATCTCATGGATAATGTTTGCAGAATTGTAAGCTCAATTCTAGGAAGAAACTCTACACTTGCAGAGGTTCAGCTGGTGTGAGCAAGATTTATCTTGCATCACTGCAAAAGCTACTACAGCAATAGAATGCAGCAACTGATCGGTGATGCTTCACAGTGAAATACACAAATGAATGGAGGATAAAATTCATCAAGTCAAGAAATTACATGTCAACCCATTACTAGGAAGAACTTCTACACATGCAGAAGTGCAGCTGGTATGAGTTGTTTGATCTTGCTAACACTGCAAAAGCCACTACCTGAATGAAGTAATGTAACAGCTGATCGGTGTTGCAGTCTACTTAACATACTACTAGACAACAAATGTAAATGTTAACTCAGTTCTAGGAAGGACTTCTACACACATAGAAGCACTGCTGGTATGAGTTATTTTTTTCTTGCATCATTGCAAAAGCCACTGCAGCAATGAAATGTAGCAGCTGATCAGTGATGCATTTTTCTTAAAGTAGAGCAGATCTAAGACTAACCCTTGATTCTGAAGTGGTAGGTCTCGTGATGGTCTTGGGGGTTTGGCCTACTGAAAGTCCAACTACAACCTTCTGTCCATTGGTGACTGGGGCTGCTGAGAGATGGAAAAAATTAAATAATTTCCAAACAAAAATAAAATATGAATACAAGTACACAAATCCATAATATACTAACCAGGCTTTCTTGGTGGTGCTGGAGAAGTGCCGATCCTCACACCACCACCCCCTAGGGTTGTCATGCCATTCTGTTGATTTAAAACCAAGGTCTGCTGACTTCCAGAGCTCACTCTGACATAGATGTTAAGACGGCCTTTGGGGCATGGTGGAGGTGGATCAGGCAAGCTGTCAATTTCTTCAATCAGTTTCCCAGGTACTCGGTACCGTCTGATTCGATGTGCCGCAAATGCTGATACAGAGTCCTCTAAATCAATCATTTGCATGTTAAGGTTGCGGAGATCAATATCCTAAAAGACAAAACAAATAATGAATAGTAAGTACAACCTTGAATGGGAAAATCAACAAGCTCTCATGAGAAAAACAAATTACAACAGACCTTCCACACATCATAATCTAGGACATTGCAAACAAGAGAGGCAGTGACATAATCAATACCCTCCATTTGAAAAGGTGATATTGTTGGGCGTGCTTCAAATAAATTTGGATGATTGCAAACTTTCCGCAGTTGCATTAGAACATTGATCACACTCAATAAATTACCGCTCGCAAGAGTTTCTTTTGTTCTAAAATAAAGCAAATATTATAAATTGCAAGTTTAGAAAAAGGCAAGATCTGTTTAAAGCTGTCACAAAACATAGCAAAACATCTTACTTTGTTCTTGACATGAAGTCATCATATAGGTACCGTTGGCGTTTAGAAAGTCTACACATCACAACATGTTCATATTTTTTAGGAAGTTGCTTTTCAACTTCACATTTGAGTCGTCTGAGAAGGAATGGTCTCAAAACTTTGTGCAATCTTTTAATAATGCTTTCATTTATTTCTGAGTTTCCTTCAATCATACCAGTCACAGGGTTTGAGAACCACTCTTTGAATTCTTTATGGGATTGAAACACATGAGGCATAAGAAAATGCATCAGAGACCACAGCTCCATCAAATTATTTTGAAGCGGGGTGCCAGTTAACAGAAGCCTTCTTTCTGTTTGGAAGTTTAAAAGCAGCTGCCAGCGCTGTGATTTGAAGTTTTTAATGTTTTGAGCTTCATCAAGAATCAGATACTTCCACTTCTTTCTCCTGAAGCTTTGATGGTCTTGAATAACAAGCTTGTAGGATGTAATGCACACATGGAATGCATTTGGTTTGGTCCAACCTGTAACAAAGATAAAGATGTATGATAACACATTTAATCTTGCCCATAACATGTGAACCATCTAAACTAGTCGTAGTCGCAGACTTAAGGCTGAGCGTAATTTTAAAAGACAATTAAATTTAGGAAAGATTTAAGGATAATTGTAAGTACTCCCAAAACCCTATTTTTCAAAAATACCTTTTTTTTGTTTTCAAAATACATGTGTGAATGTTCAATACTAAATGTTGAAGGAATGAGTGGGACCCCTGCTTATTACGTTCGTTAAGGCTAGTTGGCACATGCTTCACATGTTTTACCTTTCCGGTAATAAAACTTGCAAAGATCAACTATCAGGCTTAGAAGGCAAGGTTTACTTTTTCAATTCAGACTTAAAGGAACTACTGGAAACCAATGTAAGTAACATGTCAACCAACCCTACTACAGAAGTCAAGGATGGTTGGTAAATGCTACATTTGTATATTCTTCCCTTCCCAAAATAAAACTTGTATATCACAACTTTTAGATTATGGGGGAAAGGGTTATTGAAAATTAAGGAGCATATACTGGCAATGTATGTAACATGTCAACCAATCCTACTACAATAGTGAAGGATGGTTGGTAAATGCTACACATATTCTTCCTTTCCTATAATAAAACTTGCAAAGCACAACTTTTATATTATGAAGGAAAGGTTTTGTTGTTGTTTTTTTCCCAAAATTAAACCTATAGAATAAGTGGAAATTAATGTAAGTAACATGTCAACCAACCCTACTACAGAAGTCAAGGATGGTTGGTAAATGCTACACATGTTCTTCCTTTCCTCTAATAAAACTTGTATGACACAACTTTTAGATTGTATTAAGGAAAGGGAATGAGTTTTGAAAGATTATAGAGCAAATACTGACAATGTGTGTAACATGTCAACCAATCCTACTACAATAGTCAAGGATGGTTGGTAAATGCTACCTATACTCTTCCCACTCCTTAGCAAAATTAACACTTGGTAACTTTGGACCTTTTAACAGGAAGTGGGATAACAGTAAGTAAATCGTAGTTATCTATGTAAGTAACATGTCAACCATCTCTACTATACAAGCAAGAGATGGTTGGTAAATGCTACCACACTTTCTCTTCCTTCCCTCCAAATTCAGAAAATACAGAGCGCATAGTCTGAAGCATAGATTAAGAAAGGACATTAAAGTTATGCATTGTTATAGTAAAAAAGGGTAATGGAAATGGCCTATTTTACAGTAGTGTCTGAATAAAAAATTGACTTTTAACAGAACGCTAAGAATTAACATTTTACCTGTTCTCTTGGCTCTTCTTTCCTTTTGGGTCCCAAAGTAGGTTAAAATTTTGAAGCCAGGACACCACTTTTTCAACTCCATTTCCCAGTTTAGCATCACAGAAGTTGGAACGACAATAAGATGAGGCCCCCAATCTTCCTTCTCACAAGCAAGATGAGCCAAGAGAGAAATAGTCTGGATAGTCTTTCCCAGACCCATTTCATCGGCCAATATTCCATTGAGATTGCGGTCGTACATTGTGACAAGCCAGTCAAGACCAATATGCTGGTATTCTCTCAAAGTATGTTTCAACAAGAATGGAATCTTTGTGACCACATTAGTTGAAGATAATGTGTTTCCTTTTGGCTGCAAGCTCTCAGCTACAGCAGCTACATCATTGATTTCCTTCCCCGTCTCCTCTTCAGTTTTTGCTTTCTTGTCACTGCTACTTTCCGGTCTGTACAAATCACCAAGACCGGACTCATTACAGCCAACATCAGGGACATCTTTAGAATCTTCATTTTTGTCATCTATGTCTTCCTCCTCCTCCTCTTCATCATCATCATCACTATCTTCATCGTCGTCATCTTCTTCCTCCTCCTCCTCTTCCTCTTCCTCGTCTTCCACATCTTCAGAAGCCTTGGACTCATCATCTTCCACCACAGAACCTTTACTGCTGCCATCTGGACTATCTTCAGTCTCAATGAGTTTATCTCTGTTGTCAAGATAGCCAGGAAATTCTTTGAGTAAATCTTCTAAAGACATTTCAGTTTCTTCTTGTAGCCTTGCAATTTCTTCAGGATTGCCACCAACATCTTCATCTTTAGCTATAGTTCTTTCATCATCTTCTGAGTCCATATCTGGCTGAAAATCATCTGCAAAAACAAAGATTGTTAAATAATGTAAAAAGTGGGATAAAAGAACCATTTGGCATTTTGACACAAGAGAAAATTACCATCAGACTTGGCAGCTGTGTCTGTGTCAGATGATACAGAGGGGGCAACGCTAGCATTCACACTATTGTTTGCACTCTCTACACCTGTTCTGTTCATGCCTTCAGTGAGAAGCATGGAGTACTTCTCTGTTTGATCAACAATAAAACTTAATTGTTGGTCTAAAGCTTTCTTCCTCTTTTCTTCTAAGATCTGGGTTTGCTTGAAATCCACAAGCTGAAAAGTAGAGGAATGACAGTAAAATAAATACATTTTCAACAAAGAAAAGAACATTTAACTAACTACTGTACGTATAATTGCTTTCTCACCTTTTCTATGTTAGCCCAGAAACTTTTTATGTCTTTAGCAATTGTATTTGCTATTTTCTTTAATCTAACTTCATGGAGTTTTTCAGCCTTATCTGCATTCATCTGCTTTTCATGGAAGTGTTTTTGAACCATTTTGGCACATTTCTTAGCTGCAGCTTTTTTCCACTTTCTTTCTTGGGCAAAATCAGCAGCCAGCCAGACCATCTCTTCTAACAAGTAGTCCCAATGGGCTTTGGCTCTGGCAGGTTCTTGCACTTTGGGTAATCTCTTCTCTGTCCACAAACCCTCCCTTTGGAGTTCAGCTATCCTTTGCATCACGTGCGCCTCCTGTGAATGTGACATATTATAGAATGAATCAAGCTACAAAAACAGAAAGAGACCATTTTGCCATACAATAATCAGTAATATCAAACCTGTTTGGCCTTCTCAACAATTAATTCTTGACTACCAGGAGTAGATTCTTGGGTTGGAGTTTGTTTAGGATGCTGTCTCACAGCAGGCACTGGTTGAGCTTTCAACTTGGTTGGGCTACCAGGAACTCTCCTGTCAGGCGAGAAACTTCCAGCAGCAGATGCTACTGCTCTAGGTGGTGATCTTCCAGCAGGTATGGTGACAGGAGTAACAGCTACCTTGACTACATCAGGTACAGTTGATTCAACTGCAAAATTTAATACATAAGTGAAAACAATTTTGAAAAAGAAATCTTTGTTAGAGAGGAAGAAAACTACTGACCTTGAGGGCTAGCTGAAACTGCAGTAGAGCTAGGAGTTTGGGGGACAGGTGATGCAACAGTTGCTGAGAGAGTTGCAGATTGCACACCTGGAGTAGCAGGTGTGAGACTTTGCGTAAGATCTTCGTCATCATCCTCCACATCCAGTCGATTAGATCTTAGGAAGTGTAAAAACTGTGGGGTAGGTGGCCGCTTTCGCCAATTTAAGTATTCCATCATATTTCCCCCAACCTGTCCAAAAGCAGAGGTATCTCAAGAAAACTGGCAAGTAGAAAACAACATGCACAAAGATAATATGCAATAATACCTGAAGGAAAAATAGCTCAGCTGCAAGATCAGCATATTTAGATCTGGCAGCTTTCAGTCTTTCTAACTTATATTCTGCTATGAGTCTTCTTTTGGCCAATATCTCTTCGCTGACTGGGGTATCTGGTGCTGTGACTCGCACTTTTTTTCTAGCTTGTGGACTTGCACTAGGCGATAAAGGATGAGAGGGATTTGTCCGTGATGGGGTTGCTGATGCTATCACAGTTGACTGGGATGTTGTGGGCTGAGTTCTTCTTGATGGGGATGACAATGTGTTGATTAGGGTAGGATAGGAAGAGGCATTCACTGGTGACTGGCCTATAGCTACTAGGGAGACAGGTGTACCAGCAGCTGTACCCGCACTAGTTGTAGCTAGTTGTATGGTTCCTCCTCTTCCAGGAACTCCAAGTACTCTGTGCGTTAAAATTCTTGTCACACCCCCAGGAGTACTGGTGCCAATAGGGGACAAAACCTACAAATGCAAATTTATCATACAAATAATGTACATTGACAAAAGCAATTGACAAAAAAAAAAATACATCAAAAGGTCAACAGACCTGTGCCAGCCCAGGTACTTGTCCAGGAGTGAGGATGTACTGTTGTCCTCCAGTGGCAAGGAGGTTAACATTTGAGGTGCCTGCCGCTGCCAGGACCTGCTGAATGCGGACAGTTTGACCTGCCACATTCAGCGTTTGAGGCCCTGATGGCGGGGTTGGCACAACCCCTGCTTGCTGATCACTCATCCTCCACTCTGAATTTAATAGGGAGAAACAGGCAGACCGTGAGCGGTTATTGATAAAATTACTTTGAAACTATAATACAACTTGACTGGAACTTCAAGAATTAATTGAATTACCATTGGTTATTTACTAGATTTAAAATATTTTTTTCGTGGAGTGATACATCAATTGATAAACAATAGGAACCCTAAAACATGAAAAAAATTAAAAGATAAAACATTTAAGATACTTATTAGTTTCACACACATGACAAACACAATTTCATAAATAGAGTAGTAAGTTATGTCAAATGAAAGGGAGTTTGAGTGATAGTGAACACAATATCTGAGAGAAAAGCAGTGGTTTATGAAATCTATCAGGAAATCTGATAAAAACCCAAGGGTGTTGTCAATTTCAACTTAAGGACCAAACCATTCTATCTAAATAAATAAAAATAAAAATGTAAAACTACATCAACGACAACAAAATTTGAACAAGGCTAGATTCTGTACGAGGAGTTGCAGTGGCTGAATTCCCGCGGGCAAGCTAACACAAGCGTAGTGAGAGCTAGGGGTTAGCCTAGGCTAGGCGCGTCACCCCGTAATTATCACAAACAGAAGCGGCATCATACTCCACGGTAAAGAAAACTTGCCAGGCGAGCCAAACCACACGTCTATCCACGAAAAAATCTCAATGCCAAATTCTCAAAGTAAAATATTGAGACAAAACTGGACAAAAAAGCCGGTAGGCTTCATTGATGAGGCTAAGGGCGCAAATTTGAAAAAATAAGCCTGCAGACAGAGTTACAGTGTCCAGGAGTCGTTTGAAAAACGTTATATTGTACAATAAGAAATGTGAGGTGCATAGGAGACTTGGACATGCAAAAAAGAATTTCCGAAAAATATCCCAGAAATTTTAGCTTGGGAGATCCTCCGCCATATTAATCTTCTCGGAGCAAATCCAAAATCTTACCATGATGTAATCACAATTTTCCGCACTTTCGGCTACGCATCCATTATACTTTGAAGGTAAAATCTAAATCGCACAAATTACGGGTAGCAATGAAACTTTGCGTGACGGATTAAAATGGAATTTGTACAAAATATTTCTATCATTTTCCGCTGCTCATTGTCTCTTGCTTTGAGATAAAATGGCGTACAATCCTACCCCTACATGCTCGTCATTCACTTCCGGCAACTTCATTTTACTTCATGAAGCGGCCACTAGTGTCGCTAGCATCAAAAGAGAGTACACCAACACAACAAAAGAAATAAAGAGAAATTCTGGCGAGTTGCTATGATAATCCATGAGTAATTACAACAAATTTATTTTATTTTATGTTTTTATTGTTACTATTTTAATAGTTTTTTCACAGAGCGACTCCAACAAGATGTCGACTATAAAAATATTGGTTTATAACGTTAGGTATACTGACTTCGAGATCGAGACTTTCTGTAAGGTCCTCACTTTGGAGTAGTATTCCAAAAGAAATTTGAAAGCGTTTAGAAAGTTGAGGGAAACTATTAGTTGTCGAAACATAACGGATATTCTGATCTCATCAAAACCCACAGAATCAGATATTTGTCTCTTTTAACAAAAACAATCTACCCGCGACCAGTGCTTAAACAGGAAACAGTGTTACGCGCGAAAATTCAAATATTGGGCTGTTCAAACTGTCCTTACGTTGCGCCTTAAAGGCAGCCCTGGAAACGAAAAGATGATACAAAATAGTTTTTACAGCGTTTTAAGGCGTCAAATGTAATTTGCATTTCTGTTCTAACAACCCTCCGTATTATGTTTGACGTAGAAACTATTTGCTAGCACCGCAACGCAAACCAAACCGACAGAGCTTGAAAGAGACAGGACAGGCTCTTCTGTTTATATCGGTTTGATCAGGAAGTCTCAGTGGATCTCACTGCTTTTGCGTGTCAGGCAAACCCTCAAAAGCGGAGTAAGTTAGTTTAGTTATATCTGTATTATACTTTCACAAAAATCAGTTTCAATTGAACTTTAGAAGTTGACATTCTGTTTTTATCCACACTCATTCGATTAATAAACCTTACCTTTCTAACCTTATTGTTGTTGTGATTTTTCAGTCTCTGCCCAGAGAACAGAAAATGATCAAACTCTAAATCAAGTCATATCATTTGATGAATACCCTGGGAAAAAAATTAAGTGGCAAAGTGCAAGTGAAGTGGCAATTAAGTGTCACTTCGTTGCCCCCTTGCTAAGGTGGCATTTAAGTGGATTTTGACATTTTAAGTGGCAAGGTGGCGAAGTGCCAAGGAGGAGGTGAAGCGGCAAGGAGGAGGCAAAGTGGCACCCGAGTGGCATCAGTCTCCATATTTTTCGCACATATGTCTAATTGTACCGAGGTCCCCCAGGGGACTCTCTGTTCAAAAATCGGGGGGGGGGGGGGCTGACCGTCCAACCCCGGCCTTACGCCTGTCCGGCAGCCTCATATGACTAATCGAGCATGGTGGATCATCAGCGAGAACGAAGAGCACCGCACTTGGTTGCCACCTTGCCACTTTGGCTCTTTATGGCCACTTCAACACTTAGATGCCAGTTAAATACTTCTTCGGAAAATTCTTGGTTGCCACTCCGCCACTTTCCTCTTTCTTGCCACCTTGCCATCTGAATACCACTTAATATACACTTTGCCACTTATTTGCCTCTTGGTTGCTTACAACCACTTAACTTCCACTTCAGGGGCTCTTCGCCACTTACTTTTTTTCCCAGGGTATGATTTCATTTTAACACCATAAAAGAACAATTTTACGTCATTTTGAAGTCAAATTTACCTTAACTTGACCATACATGACTTCAAAATGACATTATATTTCATAAATTATATTTCATAAATTACATGACTTGATGAGTTTGACTATTTTCTGTCCCCAGGGTGGCAGTGAAAGACTTGGGTCTTTTCCATCCATTTAACAGGGACAGAAAAGTTACATTTCTTTATGTTGTTTCTCATTAATTTAGGAAATACCATTACAGAGTTGCCTTCAGAAGATGGATTACATTCTGCTTAAAGTGGTGCTTGTTCTATATATCTATAATGTACAACTTAGTCTTTCAATGTCGGACTGCCACAGTGGATCAAAAATAACAAATATATCTCTTGCCACTAAAACACCATATCGATTTGTTGCAAATGAAGATGATTCTCCACCCAACTTTAAAGGTGCGCAAACATCTGGTTGGCAGAACTTCCTGTGAAACTACAAAGTATATGTGTTCTGTCTTCACCTTTTTTTTTTGTTATCAGACTGTAAACCACTCAAATTTTGGTCAATGATAAGACACGGCACTAGAAATCCTTCCGAGAAAATCATCAAACAAATGAATGCCCGCCTTCCTGTGCTACGTGATCTTATAATAAAAATTCACACTGAAGGAAGAGGTTTGATGTGTTTTTTATGGTTAATTTACCCATATTGTTAAAGCCTTCCTCTAACAATTTGGTCAGGTATATTCTTATACTAATCTTGATTCCTTAAATTTTATTTTATTTTTCTCCTAGGTGATTTATGTGATAATGAAATTAGGCAACTTTTAAAGTGGACACCGCAGTTGAAGGAAGAGGATGAAAAAAAGTTGACCCATGAAGGTGAAGATGAACTTCTGGAACTAGGGGAACGGTTCCAGAAACGTTTCCCTGAACTTCTTCCAGAGACATATTCTAATTCCTCTTTCAAGGTACTATCTAATGCCAAATTTAAAACCTTAAACACCTGCTACTTACTTTCAGTTTATATGTTACCTTTTCTTCTCTTACCCTCACAGTTTCAATTTACTGCCACTCAAAGAGCAGAACAAAGTGCCAGATCTTTCACTGTTGGCTTATTTGGACGGCGAGTGAGTAGACATGTTTGGTTTCCAGAGGGAGTTTATAAAGATCCAATTTTACGAGTAAGTTCTTTGAGTGAGTGTGTCCGGCAGGTGTAGTTGACATTTCACCTTTGTATGTTATTTTATTTTCTGCACTTCAAGTTCTATAAGCTGTGTGATAATTGGCGCAAAAGTGTTGACAAAAACCCGGATGCATCTCGAGAGCTGAAAAGGTTTTCTGAAGGACAAGAAATGAAAAAAGTACAGAATGATGTTTCAGAGCGATTGGGTTTTATGGATAAGATCAGCTTAGGTAAGTAATACCTCTCTATGCCGTTCTGAAGGAGCTCATCAAGCTCATAACAATTTGATTTGTAATTAACTTCCTGTGGTTCACAAAGTTTTCTTATCTCTGTATGGTTTCAGATGATTTGTCCTTAGTTTATGTTACTTGCTCTTTTGAGACTGCATGGTTTCCAAAGAAGCATTCTCCCTGGTGCTCCCTCTTATCTGATGATGACTTTAAGGTATTAGAGTATGCAGAGGATTTAGATTACTATTGGATTGATGGCTATGGCCATCCAATTAACCATGAGCAAGCTTGCCCCACTATAAGAGATATGTTTTCTTTCTTCAGGTAATAGTAACTTATTTTCTGATATTTTACAAATACAAACAAGATTTTGTCCCTGGAAATATTAATTTTCTGTTACTTTTTCAATAGCTCTCCCAGTTTGGATAAAAAGGCAGTTCTATATTTTTCCCATTCTGGAACTGTTCTAAAAATGTTAGCTCATTTAGGACTGTACCGTGATCCACAGCCATTACGTGCATCCAATTTTCAGGAAATGCTACAAAACCGCCTTTGGAGAGTCAGCCAGATTAGTAGTTTTGCTTCAAATATTGCCTTTGTGCTCTACAAGTATGAAAATGCTATCCTTTTGTACATAAAATAGGTTCATTGATAAAAATTAGGGTTTTATTAATCTTACTGCTTTTGTTTGCAGATGTGGAAGTGAAATAAACCCGGAGCAGAAAATTCTAACCCTTCACCAAGAACGCCCTGTTCGTCTTACTGGTTGTCCTTCCGAAGAGGACCTGTGTCCATCTGATACTTTTAAAAAAGTGTTTGATATGAGTATAAAAGATTGTAATTTTGAAAGAATGTGCTCTCTTAGATCTTGACCAAATGCATATTATGACTGCCTTGATTACCTTGTAACAGTAAACATCATCTTCATTTTATTCACATCATTGTTTGAATTTGTCCCCTTAATTCTATGTTCTGAAACTGATGTTCTGCTACTAATAGATCGGGCTACTAATCCTTAAGTTTGTTAAATCATTATTTGCTGCACATTTACTGACAACAGCAGAAAATCTGTTTAATCATTCACTATCTATTTTTATGTTATTCTCTCTTATTCTCCTGACCTCCAATTATGAGATTTTTGGTATCTGTGATAGTGTGTTTAGTTGTGTAATATATGGGTTGTGAAATAATATACTTATTAAGCTTCTCTGGTATAAATGTGATGCATTTATTTTATTAAATGTAACAGTGTTAAAAATGTCTAGGATAATAAAGACACTTAATAGAAATCTAGCTACTTACCTAATTTATGTATTTTTATTTACATGCTTAAGCACATGAAGTAATTTTAAGTCTTGTGCAAATCAAAATGTCAGTCTCCAAAAGTTGGGGCCAATAAATTTTATTTTATATGGAAACAATCCAGCTAATGAAGTGATTTAGTTTGGGCTTAAGCAGTAGAAGAATGTTTTGCATGTGATAGCATCAAGGGCTTTAGCATAAATATGTTATAAATATTTGACTGAAAAATTACCTAAACCAGTCATAAGAAAAAGTTCTAAAAGAATGAATAAAAAATGGTCATAACTCAGAAGAGGTTGTTGGTTCAGTTTACTAAATCCGCTTAAACCCGTGCACTAAGCAAGTTCAAGGGCCTGCTACCAAAAACCAAAGTGGGTATGGAATATTTGTTTAATGATGACATTGTGGTTCAACACACAGGAAATATGGGATTTTGTAAATGGAAAATTTCAAAATTAACAAGCTTAACCAGCTCAAAATTACCTTAATCACAGTGTAATGGTATAACCATGAGGAAGAGTGGGCTGTGGGCTCCAGCAGGGCTCCTCTTCAAAGACAAGAATACGTGCAGCCCAACTTTGACGGAGTCCTATACTTGTAAGTTGAAATGGAAGAAAGGGGAGGGAAAAAAAGAAGTATTCACAAAGGTGGACGTGAGAAACTGGACTGAAAACTGCCAATAAAAGTCAGGGCATGGTCATATGGCACATGCTAGGGAAGGCCCAGTAGCAGTTCGGTCACGGTTAGTTGGAGTTTCTCTGCCGCTGTGACTCGTTGACGTAGGAGATCCAGTAGACGGTGGTGAAGAGAATGAAGCAGAAGGGGAAGAGCGCAAGAGACACCTGGTCCAGCATGCCACGTTGGCTGCCGCAGTACAGGATCACGTACTCGGCAACCATGCGGAAACGTCTCCGGGGCCCGTCGGAGTCCGCGCTCTCCCCAGCCGGCAACCCGGGCTCCTGCGGGCACCCCGACACAGAGCTCCAGCAGCGCCCGTTTACATCGTTACACCAGAGGGATGGTTAACCCCGCGCACTTCTGTACCGCACGCAGACGTGCATGTGAGCTTGCCTACACTAAATCTGGGGTGTTCAGCAGCTGGGCGACTTAAGATCCAGGCCCAGCCAGAGTCAGGTGCCCTCTTATTGGACACCCCTTGCCTGGGCCCCTCCCCCCTCTGCAGGAAATGAGTGCCAAAACTCAATGTGTCCTGCGAAAGTGCGACGTAAGTCGCACAGCTGCTGGACATCTCAGATTTAAGTTTACGGGGCAGATTGATTAAGCAACCCGCACGCACGCATGAATGCGCAACAGTATAGAAGTGCGCGAGGTTAATCTGTCACCTCCGGTATCATGTTGCAATCCGAGCGCTACTAGCCGGCAAAAGAAGAGAGAGAGGGGCCTTGGAAGCCGAGTATAAGGACCCGCTACTTACGTGCTTGTCCCCGCGGTGCCTGGGGAGGTCGGCGTGCGGCGACACCTTGCTGGAGCCCTGCAGCAGCCGCGGCGTGGCGGCGAGCGGCGGGGCGGCGGCGGGGCCCGGGGGAGGCGCGTCGTTCAGCGAGGACATGCCGATGTTGTTGGCGGCCATCGAGGCCGTGGAGTTGCTGTTGGAGCGCCGGTGGTGCGCGAGCGGCGGCAGCTGGGGGGCAGGGAGATGGACAGCAGTGAGGGGAGAGAGAGGAGGCCCAAGGACGACCGTCCGGGGCCCCCGGGCCCCTCTGGTCTCCTCGCGCAAGATGGATGGCCAAGACCTCCCCGCACAGCGGGTCGTGTGTGGTGTGTGTACCCACCTTGACGCGGTCGCCCGCCCACACCTGGGCTATCTGCTGGATCTGCTGCTGCTGCTGTTGCTGCGCCTGCTGCAGCTGCTGCTGGCGCTCCAGGTCGCGCTTCTTGTGGCGCCAGTGCTTGTCGTAGCGGATGCCGAACAGCACGACGAAGTACTCGAGCAGCGCGAAGAAGACAAACAGCGTGCACGAGATGAGCCAGACCTCGATGCACTTGAGCTCCAGCGCGTTCGGAGAGTTGTTTCTGGAAGGGCGACGAAAAGCATTAGGACACAAAGACTTCTTCCAGCGATTAAATCCAGAGGCATGGCTCGGTGCCAGGCAAGAAACGCGTACATAGCTCCGGCCCCGCGGAGATGTCAGTCCGCAAACACAAATTCCAACTTGATTTTTTTTTTCCGCTCTATGGCTCCGACGTGTACATACATACAGACACCCCTCTAAGAAGGCAGAAGCCCATTCCAATTACACGCCGACTTTACGAGGTCCTCCCCCCGCCCGCGTGCCGCCCGCGTGCCTGCAGGCGCACCAGAGCGTCAGCCCCCCTCATTTATTACTGCTTCACAAGTGCAGTACAAATAATTCAACCACCGCGGGGGGTACTACCCGCGACCGCATCGAGAGCAAACTTTGGCCGCAAAATAGCAGCGCTTGGGGGGAAAGGGGTGGGGGGGGGGTCTGCAAGGTCACTGACAGCGGTCTGCTCGCCGGGGCCGAGCTGGGTAGTGGGGATGGAGACGACCGACAGGCTAGCTAGGGCAGGGGCAGCCCGCATTACTATACCGCCATACTTCCCTTGGAGCGAAAGTCGAGGTCAGCGGCCGCCTGAGTAGTCACGCCTCCACATTTGACACGTCCTTGACGGCCTCTGCGTCGCGGGGCTGGCCGAAGGTGCCGAGGCAGGCGCGCGCGTGCGCGCTCAGCTCAGGCCGCCCCGCTCAGGCATCCGGTGGTGCAGGCCAGGGCAGGCCAGGGCCGCGCGGCCGTGACGCATGGCGTAACATGTTGCGCACGGGGGGCGCGCGAGGGTGAGGGGAGGCCACGGCCGCATCGCGGGCGCATGCCGGGGAAGGGCGCATCGCCGAGCAGCAGAGCGAGTGGCTGGCGGACAGAGGGGCGGACAGCGGGGCGGACAGCGGGGCGGGCAGCGGGGCGGACAGCGGGGCGGACAGCGGGGCGGATAGCGGGGCGGACAGCGGACTGCGCATGCTGGCGGCGATAATGGGTGTAATGAATCCCGCCCGTGCCGTAATGGAATTATTATGGAAATGGCGGGCGGCCCGGGTCTTGTTCCGTTTACCACATGCTAGTTTATTATTATTCTCAACCTCCACGGCGGGCGGCCGGCGGCGGGGCCCGTGCAGGTTTATGTGTCGGCACGAGTGTGGCTGGCGCGGCCAACGCGACCACCGCCGGGCCGCCCGCGGGGTCGCGGCCGGGCGGGTTCATGAAAGTTTGTTGGAAGGAACCGACCAGGTATTGCGGAGGGTGTGGCATGGCAATGAGGTAGGTGGGGGTGTGGTGGGGGGGGGGGGGGACTCTAATTGTGAGGGACTTATGCCGGGGCTGGGGCCGAGGCCGGGGCTGCCAGGGGCCGAGGTTAGGCGCGGTCATTCCCCGGGCGGCTATCGGCCAATCAGGCCCAGGCGCCGGACACACGTGGGCGGGCGGGAGCGCCAACCTGACGGTGCCGAACGTGGTGACGAGGGACGGGAGTGAGGTGACCAACCTGACGGTGTCGCACATAAAGACGAGGGACAGGAAGGAGCGTTGGTGGTCAACCTGACGGTGTCGGACATGGTGACGACGAGGGGTAGGAGCGTTTGTTGACCTACCTGACGGTGTCGAACATGGTGACGAGGGACAGGAGAGTGGTGACCAGCAGCACCATGCGCCCGGGCACGATCTCCGGGATGACGACGAAGCTGCCCCAGGACATAATGACGAACAGCGTGCTGGGCAGGTAGCTCTCCAGCAGGTGCGACCGGATCTCTCGGCTCATGGTGATGAGCATCCTCGCCGTCGAGTGGTTCCCTGAGGAAGAAGAGGGGCGGGTCACTTGGCACTGCCAGCAGTTCCACTTCCGGACCACTTTCCCGGAAGCAGTTAATTATATGAAGGTATATTTTTTTTAGAAGGACGCGGTTTGAATTCCGTATATATGATCCTAAGGGATCGTCCAGTAAGAAAAGTACGTTCGTTTTCCTTAGATTCGTTCGGCAAATTACGGGAGCTCGGCGCCTGCGAGACATTGGATAGGCATGCCCGCAGTACACGCATGCACTGCAGGCAAGATGTTGCCTACCTGCCAGGCGCCCTGAGAGCTTGCACAGGCTGAACTTGGTGCACTTTCATAACGGCGAATGCGACAGATGTCCTCAGTCACATCCTATACTTGACAAGAACGCACCTTCCCCGTAGAAGATGACCTGCATGTTCTTCTCTGTGCTGAAGGACACGACGTACTTGGCGAGTCGGTAGCCGTCATCTCCAAAGTCGCTGGGGAAGCTGAGCGGCGGGTCGTCCTTCCACTTGAATTTCATAGCCTCCATTGTGTACTTGTCTGTGGAGTAAGCAGAATGTTAGCGGAGAGCGCCCGATCGTACAGCTGAAGAGGGAAAAAAAGGAAGTACACGAGGGAGAGCACAACTCACAACTGCTGAAGTCTACCGCGCACTTTTGAATGTCGAGCGGGTACAGGACGAAATCCATGTCGCATTTGATGATGACAGTGGCACTGTAATAAGAGAGAGCACAGTGCAATCTTTCATTTTTCCATCCCTTCCATTTCGCCTAACAACACCACACTGGAAACCCAACGCCATTCTTGCACATGGGGGCACAAGTGTGAATTTTAAGAATGAAAATTCGCACATTTACTCCCTGTAGTGTACGAATGGGCATTCAAACCCTTACAAGTGTGCGACATTCACACACTTGGGCTCCCAGTGCAGCCTCATCACTCGGTCTCTTACCCTATGGACACGCGCATGGTGGAGTTGCTGTACAGGCGCACGGACGTCATCTCCTGGAACAGCGACAGCACCTTCATCTCCCGCAGCTGACGGATGTAGAGGTCCGGCACCCAGAACTTGGGCTGCTGCTGCGTCCATGTCAGCTCCACCACCGAGTGGTTGCAGCAGATGTGCACGCGCGGGTCCTCCCAGTAGACCTGCAGGAACACGTCCAGCGAGATCTCCTGCACACAGCAAGCAAATGGTCGCCGTCAGCATCAAGCACCAACAAACGCGTCTCCATCACCCCCCCCCCCTCCCCTCAGAAATATGGAAAGCTTTGGGAATCATTGAGCGGTTACTTCAGGACAGCATTAAGAGAGCATAAATACACGGTTAACTGCATGATGTTCACAACTTGGAACCATGCGGGTGCCCCTGAGTCAAACCATACGACGGTTGCTAAAGCTCTCCACTGGGGGTGCTAGCACCAACATCACCACACACCGATCTTCTCGCCGAGCACCAACAGCACCTTTTCAGCATCAAATACGCCACCAAACATCACCATCATCGCCGGCGTGCTCGGCCCGCACGGCGCGGCGGCCCCCGGCTGACCCCACAGGGGCGTGGCCGGCGCATCGCGCACACCTGTCACACTGCACGTGATGCAATAAATTCCCCGAGCACCGCCGCCGGCCCGGGCGGAGCAGGCGGAGCACCGACCCGAGCGATTAAATCAGGTTCGATCGTAAAGCAAAGTCGGAGCCTCGGTCGGAGCTGAACACCGGGCCGCGGGGCTGCGGCTGTGCCGGGGGCGGACGGGGGCTGTTGCGGGGGGCTATGCCTCCCGCCCGTCCCCGCGCTCCCACAGATCTACTCGCCGCCGCACGGCCTCCCCCGCGCGCAGATAGGATTGAGGATTGTGGAGACCGGGGAGACCCAAGAATGCCAAGACTGCCCCTCCCCTCCGCCCCATTTTACCTTTTGGCTCAGAGCTCAGCGTTTAAGAGACTCAACGTGTAACAAGGTGCCTTTCATGTCTGGAAATGCAAGGGGGAAAAAATATACCACCACGGCGCAATATCTCCCCCCCCCCTCTCTCCTTTGTAACAAATGATTCAACTTTATTTTTGTCTATTTTTAGTGCCCCCCCACCCCTCGCCCGCACACAAAGCCATTTAATCTCCCTGACCGCCGGCTCACCTCGCTCAGAGCAGCAGCAGATTTATTAACAATATCCGGCCGATATCTCTGATGCGAACGTATCGCCCGCGCGCCGGCCGCCGAGGCAGCCGAGGCCCGAGGTAGGTGGCGGCCGCTGTGTTGGCGTCTCGCTCGCACCCGAGGGCCGCATCCGGGGGCGGCCGGGGGCGGCCGGGGGTGCTGGTGTACGCGGGAAGCGAAACGGAGACGGGGTCCCGCAGATCCCCTCACCCCATACCCCACCCTCCCATCCCCGACATCCCGACATACAGCGGCAAAGGCCGCGGGCAGCGGCAATAAACTAAAGTACCCGTGCTTGGGGCCTGGCGGGGCGGGGCGGGGCGGGGCGGGGCATGGGAGGGACGACCACTGCCACTGCTCGGCGGGGAGCTCAGCCCCAAGCCGCTTAGGTGGCCCAGACCCCGCAACGCACTCCACCTAAAACCTGGCCGAGCTCGCCAAACTATGATTACACGTGGAATAAGAGCCTTGCCCCCCCCCCCCCACACACACCTCACAGCTGTGATGAGGCACCCACGTCACCGTCCTGGGCTCAAATGAGAATGATAGCAACAAAGTATAAACACACCTCTTTGCGCCCAGCGTTCCTATCCAGCTTAAGCTCGAAATTTCGAGGGTCCGGGCTGGGAGTTTTGCTTCGCGATAATACCCGGCGATAAGAAGGTGAGGCGCGCGCGCGCCAGCCGCTAGACCCGCGCGAGGCGCACTATCTGCTAAAGAAGGGCAATGATGATGGAGTTGCAGGGACACGACTGTTGTGCGCGCCACAAAAAAGCGCTTTCCATCTGTTCCCTTGAAAAGCAGCGCGCGGTCGGCGGCAGAAAGGGGTTTTTGTATAAACATCAAGAGCAGCAGCTTTGGAGGCCGCGCGAGGCCGAGGCTACTACGGGCGCAGAAGGCCTCGGCCGCGGGGAAGCGGAGGGGGACGGAGGGGCAGT